CTGCGCTCTGCCCTGCCTTCGCAATCAGATTGTGATGCTTTTTTTTTTCCTTGCAGTTTCTTTTTTTTCCTCCCTTTTGCAGCCTTGCAAAATGCATAAACTGAGTCCTGAAATTTCCACTTATGTCCCTGAAAATTGGCAGCGTTTTCTTGCAAAATACCTTGAACTTGTACTATTTTGTGGTCAGTTCTTTTCAATTCAATCTCTCTCTTTTTTGTTTGTTTGTTGTTTGTTTGTTTCAGTTTGCTACTCTTAATGCTAAACAGAATTCTGTATTTGTGGTCATTCAAAGTTTTAGTTCACGAGAATGGTGATAGTAGGTATTGTAACTGCAATTAATATGTGGTCAAAACTCAAGAACAGTGTCCATGGTTTTCAGGGAATCACAGAACCGAATTCCCAGCTTGGAGAGTTTGATACTTCATTTTCTGCATAACTGACTGAAGTAAACAGACGAATATAAAATGGTACATAAATAGTTCGTGCAGATCATTCCGGTTTCAAAAAAATAGTATTTTCAAATTGAGATGGGTATGTACAAAACACATGTAATATGCTCATTGGTTATCAAATCCCACATTGCTGGTAAATCAAACAAAGCAGCCAGCTGGATTTCAGAAAGGTATCTTAAATGATCATCTTGAAACGTGAAAAAGTTGCAATTTCCATGTTGATCATGAATTACTTAAGCTACTTTGAAATACAGTTTCTTCGCACACTCCCTCACTGGAAGGATGGGATCACAATCCTAATCTGGAGCGTGTATTTGAGTTCCAGATTTGAATTCATATTTCTGGTGAACCTTTAGATGCAATTGAGAATCACGAATGAAGGCAAATATATGTGTCCTGGGATAATATTGCCGGATCCAATCATCGGGACTGGAGATTTAGTCTTCTGAACTTTTGGACGCATGCTGCAGCCCATCCTCAGGCAACTTCTCTCTAGAAGTGTGTGTGTTTTGGGCTATTTTGTGTGTGGCATTTATATGGTGTCTGGTTGTGTGTGGCTTTTTAGTTGTTGATTGGCCATCAATACGCCAATCAACAACTAAATGGCCACACACAACCAGGCACCATAGATACACCACACACATAGAATAGCCCAAAACACACACACTCTGCTAGAGAGAAACTCCCTGAGGATATGGGCTCCACCATCCTGGAAGAGTAAATTTGGGTCCCGGTGTCTGACCCAGATTGGATCCTGCAATTGAGAACGATCCACTTTCACTGCTTCACTAAGATCAGAACTAAATTAGGTGATTTTGGGAAAGGGGGGAAGATGCGCTAAATAACCTGACCTGTAGGACTTTGAAAGAAACTGCATATTAATCAAGCAGGAAATTCTAGTTGGTCGTAAGAATTTTTTTAAAAAAAATCAAGAAAAGTGTCTGTGCATTGCTTTAGCCTTTTACCTGTGCTATTTATTCATTTGCCAACCAATTCCTAGCCTAAATCTCTCTCTCAAATCATTCTTAACTTAAATGTGGACAAAATTACAGCTTGAATTACCAATATTGACCCTGCGAGTCAAATTACAAAGGCCGCTCATAATTGAGTTTCTGCAGCAATTAAGATGTCCTCATATGTCATATCAACCGGTGGATTTTTTTTTTTTAAATAAACCCTTGAAATAATGAATATATGGTAGTCCGAACCATATATTTCTTTGGAGACTGTTAAATATTTGTAACGTTGTTTTGATCATCGGTTTTTGTCAATGGAAAAATGCAGATCACATTTTATTAGTTGCTGAGGAACTTGGGTGGAAAATGTAATCCTTTACCTAGCTAAAATCTATGGATCTTCTTTGCTTTTGGTGCTCCCTTTAACTACTGTAGTAGGTTGCTTCAAATGTTTGCTTAGATCCCATAATTTACAACGGGGGTCCCCAACCTCTGGGCTGCGAACCATTTCCGATTCGTGGCCTGTTAGGATCCGGGCTGCACAAGGGAACTTCATCAAACACATGCACAGGATCTAGGTAGCACGCCAAACCACAATCATCACCACCCTGGTCCAAGGAAAAACCGTTTTCCCTGGAACCAGTCCCTGGTGCCTCAAAGGTTGGGGACCCCTGCTTTATAATGGCCCAGATGAGTGAAGTTCCTGTGCAAAAAAGAGCCACTGTGTGTTCTTCTATCTCTTTTTATTTGTACTGTTGATAAAAATAAGAGAGGCTGGATAGAGAAAGTGAAGTTGGGCCCTGGATTTGAGCCACATAGTTTTTACAGTATTTTCTGTTCAGTGATGAGTACCCATTTGTGAAACCAGCAATAGAACTCCATGCAACTTCTTAAATCAGTGTTTTTCAACCTTGACCATTTTAGGATGGTGGACTGCAACTCCCAGAATTGCCCAGCAAGCCAGAATAACAAGAGTTGGAAGGGACCTTGGAGGTCTTCTAGTCCAAACCCTTGCTCAGGCAGGAAACCCTATACCATTTCAGACAAAGGGATTACCCAATCTCTTCTTAAAAACTTCCAGTGTTGGAGCACTTTCACAACTTCTGAAGGCAAGTCGTTCCACTGATGAATTGTTCTAACTGACAGGAAATTCCTCCTTAGTTCTAGGCTGCTTCTCTCCTTGATGGGTTTCCATCCATTGCTTCTTGTCCTGCCTTCAGGCACTTTGGAGATTAGCTTGACTCCCTCTTCTTTATGGCAGCCCCTTAGATATTGAAACACTGCTATCACATTCACCCCCTAGGTTGAAAAACACTGGTTTAGAACTTCTGCTTCATTCACACAAGTCCCACCTTTGCCGAACCGCAGGAGCCTTGCAGGATGTGCAATACCTATCTGATCCGATAGTATTTCTTGTTTTGTGTAGCCTTCATCACTACGCAGAGTTAGCACTGCACCCTTGCCTAGGAGCGGTAATGGAAATGCAGACGCTTTTTTGCAACTGGTATGTAGGTGTTTTCCAGTACTGACCGTTCCTTAACTTTAAAAGTATTAGCTGCATTTTAGATGGGTGACTTCTCTCCTCTTCTCCCTGTGTTCCCGCAAAGGCTCAGATGAACGAAACGGACGGAAACAACTGGGTTGAAAAATTCAACAGGCGCTCGAGTTGGTACGTACAGCATTGTGTATTTGTGTATGTGTGCACACCCAAGAGAGTTACAGAACAAGTTTTACTAACCTGGCTTCTTCCAGATGTGTTACTTGTCAGGTTTCCAGCAATCGCTCTAATTAAAATCACGATTCTCGAGCCAAACTTCAAAAAACTTCAAAGGATTCATTAGAGGCGACATACCGGCACTGCCCTGTATGAAGCCAAGTCTGGCATAGGTAATTTACAGTCACCTGTGACTCTGTTTCCCCCGTCCCCCCTGGGTGTCTCATAAACCAGATTCTCCAGTTGAGCACGTTCACGGGCTGGGTGTCATCATTCACGTTCTCCAATTAAATGTATTCATGGGCAAAAGCTCTGGTATTTTAGTTACAACCTTTTAAAGATAAGAGTTGGAATGTACTTTCGCTTTGCTGCATTGCTCTTCCAGATTTCCTTCCTCCCCCCCCCCTTTTTTTAATGGCTAAACTACTAAAACAGGCATAGGAATGTTTTATGAGTTGACATTACCTTATAGCTGGAATAAACCACCATGCCTTGTTTTTCCAATGGAGATTCTTTTTGGCCAAAGAATGAGGGTGAAATTCACATCTGGATGGGAATAGGCTTAGTTTTGCTTGTTTGAGTCAATATTTATTTTATTTATTTATCTTGTCAAAAGCTTACAATACAGAAATAAGAATAAACATAAGTTTAAATATAAGAAATAGGAACTAATAATTGGGGACAATAGGACAGGGACAGTAGGCACGATTGTGCGCTTATGCACGCCCCTTACAGACCTCTTAGGAAAAGGGTGAGGTCAATAGAGGTTAGTTTGAGGGTAAAGGAGTGGGGGTTTGAGCAGGTGACAACAGAATCAGGTAGTGAGTTCCAGACATTGACCACTCTGTTGCAGAGTGTTGTACTTCCTGCAATCAAGCTTGGAGCGGTTTACATTTAGTTTATATCTGTTGTGTGCTCTTGTGTTGTTGTGGCTAAAGCTGAAATATTTATTAACTGGTAAGACGTTGTAACGTATGATTTTATGTACTATGCTTAAGTCCAATCTTAGTCGGCGTAGTTCAAGGTTGTCTAAGCCTAGAATCTCAAGTCTGGTGCTGTAGGGTATTCTGTTGCGAACAGAGGAGTGTAGTACTCTTCTGGTAAAATACTTCTGGACTCGCTCAATTGTACTTACGTCTGATATACAGTGCGGATTCCAGACAGATGAGCTGTATTCGAGTATTGGTCTAGCAAAGGTTTTGAATGCCCTAGTTTGCAAATATATTAATTGAAATTCAAACTCATATTTTGTATGAGTTCTTATGGCAAAGGGTACATAGAAATGCAGCTGTGCACTGAATGGGGCAATCAAAAATGCAGGCAGTCCTTGACTTACAACAATTCATTTAGTGGCCGATCAGAGTTAGAACGGCACTGGAAAAGGTAACATGACCCTTTTTCACACTTACAACCATTGCAGCATCTTCTTGGTCACGTGATCAGAATTCAGAGGCTTGGCAAGTGACTCCTATTTATGATGGTTGCGGCGTCCTGGGGTCATGTGATCCCCTTTTGTGACCTGACAAGTGACGTCAATAGGGAAACCTGATTCGCTTAACAACCGTGTTACTAACTTAAGGACTGCGGCAATTCACTTAAACAACTGCGGCAAGAAAGGCTGTAAAACGGGGCAAAACTCACTTAACCAATATTTCATTTAGCAGCAGAAATTTGGGGCTCAGTTGTGTTCGTCAGTCAAGGAGTACCTGTAGTGCATTCAAGACAACATTGCACACATTTAGGGGGGGGTGGGAATCATGCAGAAAGATACATAAGAACGGTTACGTCATTTTTTTAAAAATAAATTGCAAACCAGAATTACGTGGAAAAAATGATGGTTAGCTAATGATGCAACAGTAAGTTGAATTATAGCAGGGAGAATTTATTTTTATTTTATTTATTATGCTGAAAGTCGGGAAAGGCTGTTCTCTGAAAGTGCTTCCCACCCAAGTCCCCATCACACTTCCCTTTCAGTTTCACTGACAGCCTGTGAACTTAATAATGGCCGTCTGTGGTGCTACAACAACGACAGAAGCTATTCAGTGGAAGCTGCATTTCTTTGTAATCATCCATAATCCGTCTCTAATTTGTCCCTAAACAGTTCTGCAAAATATTGAATAGTTGGGACTATCTCAGACTGAAGAATTTAAATGCTTACATGTGCAACTTTTACATCTGTACATGTATCAGTAAATGTATGCCTCCTCCCCCTCCTTTCTTCCCTTTGCGCTCCCCCTCTCTTCTCGTCCTCCTCTCCTCTCCTCCCCTTTCCTTCCCTTTTCTCTCCTTCTTTCTTCCCTCCCATTTTCTCTCTCCCCTCCTCTCGTCTCCTTTCACTTCCCTTTCTTCTCCTCCCTCTTCTCTCCCTTCCTCTCCCCTCTTCTCTCCTTATCCTTCCCTCTCCTTCACTTCCCTCCCCTTTCCTCCCCTCATCCCCCTCCACTTCCTCTCTTCTCTCCTCCCCTCCCCTTTTCTCCCCTCCCCACCCCTCCCTCCCTTCCTTCCTTCTTCCTTCTCTCATTCACCCTCTTTCTTTTTTTTCTTTCTCTTTTTTCTCCCTTTCTTCCTCTTTCCTATATTTTTCTTGGAGGGGGGGGGGATATGTAATGAAAAAAAACCAGAGGAAATTTCTTTTTTAAAGAAAGCCTGTTTGATTCTCCTGTCCTTAGGAGTCTAAAGGGAACCAAACAAGGAGAAAAACGGCCCTCGCTACAACGTTTCATTAGCTCAACTTCCTGGACCGAATCCGAGGAAGAGCAACTTGAATTAGAGTGAGTCTCATTTTTCCTCCAGGCGCCCCAAAGATGGGAGCTTCTCCTCTAGAAGCTACTAATTTCTCTCAAGCACTGAAAGAAGATTTGTTCTATGCAGTTGAAGAAGAAAGCAGGTGAATTATGACTCCGTTGAAGACGCTGACAACATGGCAGTCTAGAGCAGGGGTCCCCAACCATCGGTCCCCGGACCGGTACTGTTACCGGTCCGTGGATCATTTTTTACTGGGCCGCAAAGCTTGGGCGCCGCCATCTTGTTTCGACAGCGCTTCCGGGTTTTCGGTTGCTTCCGGGTTTTCGGTTGGAAAGCGGCGTTTGGGTGCTCGCGCCTTAGTTTCGTCGAAGGGGGGGGCGGCTTCGAACGAAGAGCCGTCCCGATGGCGGTGGAGTCTCACATTACTCAGGTACCGGTTCGTGGAAGAATAAATAATCGTGAAACCGGTCCCTGGTTCGAAAAAGGTTGGGGGCCACTGGTCTAGAGCAATATTTCTCAACCAAGGCAACTTTAAGATGTGTGGACTTCGATTCCCAGAATTCCCCAAGTAGCATCCTGGCTGGGGAATTCTGGAAGTTGAAGTCCACACATCTTAAAGCATGAGGACTGGGGAATTCTGGGAGCCGACGTCCCTGTGTCTTAACATCACAAAGGTTGAGAAGCGATGATGTAGAACCATCCTGGACGAGCAGGGCCTTTTTAATCCAGAATCTAAATCACCCCTTACAGGACTGCTCTTCAGGAACCGGCAACCCCGGAGATCCAGGGAGGTAAAGCACGAAAGCTGAGCGAAAAGGAAACCAACATGACTAAATGGGGGCTACGCTCACTGTAAGTCCACAAGGAAAGGAACAAGACAAATGCTTTAAGGGAATCATCTTTTTTTTTATGATCCCATAATCCCTTGCAGAGCAACTGAATGGCGCTGAGCATTTACTGACCGGATGCCCTTCCTGTCACCAATGCGGAGTTTTGTTCAGTAGATATATTCTCATTGTGTCCAGAGAGAGAAATATCTACCTCTTGTTGTTGTTGTTAGTTGTGAAGTTGTGACTCACAGCCTCCTGATTGTGAGGCGAGAGCTCCACCTCTAGGCCACGGCACCACTCACAAATGCTTTGTGGGAATGTGGGAAAGAAATTTGGGATGTCTAATTCATTGAATTTGAGGCAGTAGCAGCGATTTATCAGCATGCTGATTGGGAGCATCTACGCATAGGACTTTAAAAATATGTTCCCAGAAGTTCAATTAATACTTTACTTTAAAAAAAAAAAGGCTGAAGTATTATAAAAAAAGAAGCACACTCCACTGGTTCCCTTTCTTCTTCTTCTTGTGCCATATCCGTCCTCGGGTGTTGCCGATCATGTTGGCGATCCTATTTTTATCAACAGCTGCACGAAAAAGTGCTGCTGGGTTTTGTCCAAACCAGTCCCTTAGATTTGGAAGCCTGGACCTCGTCTGCCTTCAGTCTTCCCCTGGAGGATTAAGTGAAGAATGCCATATTTTTCCAGGTGTCGCATCACATATCCGAAATATTATTTTCGCTTTTTTTAATGGTTTTGATGATTTCCCTTGGCTTTCCCAGGCGGCTGATCCCCTCCTCATTTCTGATTTTGTCAACCCAACTTTATACGTTAACAGCTACCTGTAAATCCACATTTCAAATGCTACTAGTCTCTTCAGGTGGGTTTCTGTCAGAGACCAACTTTCTACTCTGAAGAGTAGGATCAGTGGTGGGATTTTAATTTTTTTTTACTACCGGTTCTGTGGGCGTGTCTTGGTGGGCGTGCTGTGGCTTGGTGTGCGTGGCAAGGGAAGGATATTATAAAATCTCCATTTTCACTCCACTCTAGGGGAAGGTTACTGCAAAATCCCCATTCCCTCCCCCCCACCACTAACCTGCTTTCCAGCTCCGTTCTCCTGTGCGGGGCAACCAAAGAAGACCCAGCCAATCAGCTGGGACTCAGGAGGCAGAAAGGGATGGGGGCGGGGCCAGTTAGAGGTGGTATTTGCCGGTTCTCCCAGCTACTCAAAATTTCCGCTACAGGTTCTACAGAACTGGTCAGAACCTGCCAAATACCACCTCTGAGCAGGATAGAATAGATGTAGCAACTGTTTCCCTGGAAACATATTATTTTTCCCTGAGGAAATTTAGATTCGTGTAGTACGTGTCCACGTATTGGAGTGTGTGAATTGCCGTTGAAGGTAGACTTTGGACGAAGGAAACCCATGTCTATTTTTCTATGCTTTCCCCCGCTCCCTTCTCTTCTGCAGGTGTACGAGAGTGTCATCTTGGGCCTCCGCTCTTAAGACTTCCTTCTACGGGATTAGCAAAGCCCTCTGTGTCTCTATCGTTGCAGTTGTGCTCTTTGCCGTCCTGATAACTTTTGTCATGGGATTTTCCTTCCATCAACCTGTGGAAGCCTCTCCTCAGGGCACCGGGACTGCGTGGACCTCAGTACAGAAGTTCTTGTGGCCATACACACGTCTCCTCCACCAAGGACCACCGCCTGTATAATTAGGCAGTATTCAGAATTGATTTGTTTTTTTTTTTCCTACTGTAGGGTTTCTCCATCTTGGCAAACTCTTAAGGTGGGTGGACTTCAACTCCCAGAATTCCCCTGGCTGGCTGGGGAATTCTGGGAGTTGAAGTCCACTCTCCTTAGAGTTGGCAAGGTTGAAAAAAAAAAAAACCTTTTCTAGGGCCTGTTCAGCATGTAGTCTTAAATTGAATAATCCAGCAGGCGGATCAAGCAACCGAGTTTGATCACATTTTAAATTTCTGAATGTAGAGAAAGTGCAATTTTAATGCGCCATCTAATATTTCTGTTAATTATTTGGGACCGCAAGGTACGATTCGTTCTTTTCCGGCCAAGCAAGAAGTTCTTCTGAATGATTGCAACTATTTTGTTTTTACATTAAATGTTGTCCATCTTTCTCTTCTTTCCCCTCCCATCCCCCAAATCTCACCAAAGAGCTTATAGAAATGAAATATTTTTCTAAAAACAAATTTCAGGGCACGTAGTCTATCCATAAACAGCTAATTTATTTATTTTTTCCTTTTTTTAAAAAAAAAGAAAAGACGACCGAAGTGGGATTTCTTCCACCTCTTATTGACTGGAGTGTCTTTGAACTCAATAAAGTTCTTAAAGCAGCTTTTGGCGTGTTAGGAATATGTCAGCACCCTGGTGGCCAGGAGCATTTGGTACACGGCATCTATGAACAGGTAGTTGCTCTGTTTGACACGGTCCATTGCATCTTTGCTCCCGGTATCTTTCAGGAGATGGTAGAGCGTGGAGTGGAATTCGGAGCCTTCTGCAATGTTCTTGGAGAAAGCATTGCTCTCTTCGTCGATTGCAAGTTTCTGAGCTCTTTGGCCGTTGAACATGTAAAGTTCCCATTCTTCTTCTAGGATCTGTTCTTCATCAGTCAGATGTTCACAGGCCTGCAGTTGGGTAGGAGAAAGAAGAGGGTGGACACCTCACCAGATGCTGAAGGGGTCCCTGGTGCTCTCTGAGCTGGGTTGTTTTCTTGCAGACATTTCATTACCCAAACTAGGTAACATCATCAGTGCTAGAAGGAGGTGCAGGCTGCAGAGAGGAGGAGGAGGAGGAGGAGGAGGAGGAGGAGGAGGAGGAGGAGGAGGAGGAGGAGGACAACGATTCTGGGGTCCTTGATGCTCTCTGAGCTTGGTTGTTTTCTTGAAGACATTTAATTACCCAACTAGGTAACATCATCAGTAGTAGAAGGGAATGGGGTTTACTAAGTAGAGGAGAAAGGGAATGGGAGGAGGAGGAGGACTGTGGGGTCCTGGGGGCTCTTTGAGCTTGGGCTCCTTCCACCAGGGCTCCTTCCCTCCTAGAAGGGAGAGCTAGTACTGATGATGTGATCTAGTTTGGGAAATGAAACACCTGTTTTCTTGCAGATGTTTTATTACCCAAACTAGGTAACATCATCAGTGCTACAAGTGAATGAGGTTTGCTCTGTTTATATACAATTCAAGGGGTATTGCCTCCAATCAAGCAGTAAACAATGCCCTAATCAAGGAACTATCCATTCAGACAAACAAAAGCTATGGTTATTTTCTTGCAGACGTTTCTTTACCCAGCTAGGTAACATCATCAGTGTTAGCACTCCCTTCTAGGAGGGAAGGAGCCCTGATGGCGCAGTGGTTAGAATACACTATTGCAGGCTAACTCACTGCCAGGAATTTGGTTCCTTCAATCCCGACCGGCTCAAGGTTGACTCGGCCTACCATCCTTACGAGGTCTGTAAAATGAGGATCCAGATTGTTAGGGGCAATGTGCTGACTCTGTAAACCGCTTCGAGAGGGCTGTGAAGCCCTGTGAAGCGGTATATCAGTCTAAGTTGCGAGATCCAATCTGGGTTGGTCACCGGGACTCGAGGTTTTGTCTTCCGAGTTTTCAGACTCGTGCTGGAGCCCAACTTCTCTCTAGCCTTCATAAGTCTTAAGTGCTATTACTATTGCTTCTGATACTGATGATGTTACCTACCCTGTTTCCCCAAAAATACAACCTACCCTGAAAGTAAGTCCTAGCTTGATTTTGACCCGTGCGCCCTATATAAGCCCTACCCCCCCCAAATAAGCCCTAATTAAGATCCCGCCCACTCAGAGTGCACAGGTAAAAATTTAGTTAGGGTGTGGGTGTGGTGGAGCTGCCCTGCTACTTGACAGTTGTAGCCAGGCCTCGCACACCCCGACACCTGCCTTGCCGGGCCAGTTCTTCTGCAGTCGACAAGGCTGGCAAGGCTTTCCTGAAGGCCTCTGGAGCTGAGAACAAAGCTCCGGATCGATCCAGAGCTCTGTTATCGGCTGCAGAGGCCTTCAGGAAAGCCTTGCTAGCTGCGGAAGAAGAAGTTCCTGAAGGCCTCTGACAGCAAAAAGGAGGCCGGGGGCGACGCACACAAGTGAAGTTAATCAGTGGATGACATCCCCCGAAAATGAGACCTGGTGCCTTTTTTTGGTGGTAAAAAAACCCCCATAAGACAGGGTCTTATTTTCGGGAAAACACGGTAGTTGGTAATGAAACATCTGCAAGAAAACAACCAAGCTCCGAGCCCACCAAGGACCCCTCATTTCAACCCTGAGATACAAATATACCCCTTCAGAAGGAATTGTCAGGTTTGTTCAACTGGTTTTAAAATGGAAGAGTATAATGAGCAAAGTTGAATGTTGACATGCAAAGTTGACATGCAAAGTTGACATGCAATACACACAAACAGGCAGAGCCTTGTTTGTGTTGTTGTAGCCACCCACATGTCCTCTTGGACTCAAGGACTTAGGATCCAAGGACCCCCACATGTCATCTTAACCATGCTTTGCGGACATGCCTGGTTGCTTGACTGGCTCTATCGCTGGTTTTTGTGTTAATTTGGTTTTTTTAAAAAAAGGGGGGGCCTGGACTTTGCCAGATGTGAATGATTGGTGATATTTTGATTGGTTTCAACCTTTTGTATGCCACTCAAAGTCATGTCTATGAGAAGAAGAGTCATAAATCATTTAAATAAATGCAAATGGTCCTCGACTTACAACAGTTCATTTAGTGGCCGTTCAAAGTTACAACGGCACTGAAAAAAAGTAACCTATGACCATTTTTCACACGTACAACCATTGCAGCGTCCCCACAGTCACGGGATTGACATTTGGATACTCAACAACTGACTCACATTCATGATGGTTGCTTCACAATCGTGTCACTAGCTTAACAACTGCAGTGATTTACTTAACAAATGTGGGAAGAAAAATCGTAAACGGGGCAAGATTCACTGAACAAATGTCTCACTTAGCAACATAAATGTTGGGCTCAATTGTGGTTGTAAGTCAAGGACTACCTGTACTGACATAGTGGCGGTCCATCCCTTTCCTAGCAATTTCTATCCTGCTGCCCATTTTTTAGAAGATGTTGCTAGCAGGGGTGGGATTCAAAAATCCCAACAACTGGTTCTCCTCCAGGTTTCTGGGTGGGCGGGGCCTACCAGAACTTCTGGGAGGGCTGTTTTTCACCTTCTGCAGAGTCCGGAAGCTTCCCTTGGGCCTCTGGGAAGATGAAAACAGCCTCCCCAAGTTCCAGGGGCCCTCTGGAAGCCTGAGAGAGGCCCATTTCTGGACTTCCAGAACTTTCGAGAGGGCCGTTTTTCGCCTTCCCCAGAGTCAGGAGGCTTCCCTCGGGCCTCTGGGAAGATGAAAACAGCCTCCCTGAGTTCCGGAGGCCCTCTGGAAGCCAGAAACAGGCCCATTTCTGGACTTCCAGAACTTTCGAGAAGGCCGTTTTTCGCCTTCCCCAGAGTCAGGAGGCTTCCTTGGGCCTCTGGGAGCATGAAAACAGTCTCCCCGAGCTCAGGAGGCCCTCTGGAAGCCAGAAACAGGCCCATTTCTGGACTTCCGGGAGGGCCACTTTTCGCCCTTCCAGAGCCTCCGTGAGGATCCTGCACTTACCTGCATCCAAAACGAGCTGCATGGAGACTCCTGGGAGGGGCAGGGTGGATGGGGCCAGCTGGTCGGTTCAACTACCGGTTCGGCAAAGCAGGTATAAATTTAACCTCCGGTTCGCTCAAACCGGCCCAAACTGGCTGAATCCCTTCCCTGCTTGCTAGTCTTCTGATCTTGCTCCCTTGGGGGAAACAGTGGGAGAAGACACAGACGGCAAGGAGCAATGCCAGGGAGACCACGGGGACGGAGTGGGGCCTTGGGGCCTGCTCTGCTTAGATTTAAGATGGAAACTAGGCAGGGTTTCGGGTACAGCCACTCATGCCTACCTTAAAGACCAGATCGTTCTCTCCACTCTTCAGGTTCCACTTGCTCCAGCCAAAGGCAAAAGAGGTTGCAACAAGAGACATTTGCTGATAAACCATGACTTCTGCTAAGAGGGTCTGTAAAAAAGTGGATGAAAATATCCAAAGCCAATTGTGAATGAAGCTTGGCACAGGAAGAAGGCCCAACCCTGATTTCTCTCTCTTGATGCCAATCTATATTATCACCTCTCTCTCTCTCATCTATCTCTTATCTGTCTGTCTGTCTTTCTATCATCTATCCATTCATCCATCCATCCATCCATCCATCTCTATCATATATCATTTGTCTATATCATCTATCGTCTATCACAAGGGTCTTCAAACTTGACAGCTTTAAGACTTGTGGACTTCAACTCCTAGAATCCTGAGTTAACATGACTGGAGGAAGAATTCTGGGAGTTGAAGTCCACAAGTCTTAAAGCTGTCAAGTTTGGAGACCCCTAGTCTATCATGTCTATCTAATTAGGTGGGATGGATAGATGGATGGATGAAAAGATGTGAAGATGATTTATCTATCATCTAACAATCATCTGATAGCTAGCTAGATAATGGTAGAGATTAGATATAGATAGATAGATAGATAGATAGATAGATAGAGATAGATAGATAGATAGATAGATAGATAGATAGATAGATAGATAGA